TTTGCACTAATCTTCTAAAGGTGAAATGAATCGACATGACCTGCAAAACAGAATAGGGCTAGGGCCGGTGTGACTTTTGTCGCACGAACTCCGATGCTTAAGTTAGTGTTGGAATAATCAACTGTAGAGAGCAGGGTATTCAAGCATACCTCTAGAATTTGGTTTAACCTTTTATTTATAGAAGTTGAATCATCATCCCTTCAGGAGTTACCAAAGTTGAATCCTAGTATACTCAGGAGATCTAGACTCCCGGACTTGTGCATTTCGTAATAGGCTGAATCCAGGGTCGAGACAAGGTAAACTCGGATCGAGCTATGTGGGGGTCGGGAGAGAACCATCGGGGTTCTCGATGCCGACCCTAGGTTGGCTATGGTCGGCTCGGGTGGCAGGGTTTCAGCCTCCTTACCTGTTGAGCCCACTCCTTCCCTGGCCCAACTTTTGTCTTCTACTTATTCCATCTAATCTTGCTTGATCTTCCTATAACAAGTGGTTTGTTTGATCAATTAACTTTTAAGATTGTGTTTAATAGATCTTTAAACCTTAAAAAGTTTTTAATATGTCTTTAGACTTTCAATGTTGTATCCAGTGACTTATTAGACTAAAAATGTAATATAACTTTTATTACGTACCTAATGAATAGATATATGAATTGACGTGTATATAAAATCAATTGTAATAAGTTAAGAGACCGATTTCGAAACAAAACCAGATTTTTGTCAAATGATTTGGAAAAAAGAAGAAGAAGAAAGAAACAACTAATACCAAAATAGTTTTGATTAAATTACAAATTTAGTCCATGAATTTTTCAATATCGTGTCCCTAAACTAACATGTATAATCACTTGTAATAAGTTAAAAGTCTGATTTCGAAATAGAACCATATTTTTATCAAATGATTGACAATATATACAATGAGAATCACTAAAATAGTTTTGGTTAAATTACAAGTTTAGTCTTAGATCGTGTCCTTTAAACTTGAAAAAGTGTCTTTTCGGTTTCTAGACTTTCAATTTTATGTCTAGTAGATCCTTGAAATTCAAAGATGTCTAATAGATCTCTCAACTCTCACTGTTGTCTCTAATAGATCATTGTCATATTCGACAATGGTTAAAATTCACAGATTTCTTTTATAAAAATATTAAATTTGTGTCTAATTGGTCCATAACCTCTCAATTTTATGCCTCATAGGTTGTTTAATTTTTAAAAATTGTCGAATATATGAAAGACATATTAGACACGAAATTGAATGTTCATGAACCTATTAGACACTCTTAAACTCGGAGAACCTATTAGATATAAAATTTAAAAATTCATAGACTTATTAGACACAAAATTGAAAGTCTATGAACCTATTAAATCCACTCTAAAAGTTGAGAGGAAAATTATAATTCAACCAATAATTTCTATGCAAAATTTAAAAAGGAAAAGAATATATATAAAATAAAATATTGATTAAATTATAGTTTAGCCCATAAATTTTGAGACTTGTGTCAAATACCTCCTTTAATTAAAAAAAATATATAATAAGCCAATAAAATTTGAATTTATGTCTAATATGAATTTAAAAATTTTCTGATAGATTTTTAAATTTTTAATTTTGTGTCAAGTAAATTTCTATTATATTCGAAATCTTTTAATAAAAACTTATTAAGTATAAAATTGAAATGCCGTAAAATTAAAGTTTAAAAATTAAATTTTGTACCTAATAGATCTATGAATTTTATAAAATATCAAATATGCCGTAGAGACTCATTAARCACAAAATTAGGAATTTAGAGGTCTAGTGAACACTTTTATACTTCAAACTTGCTAAAATGTTTTAAGTTATTTTTTATTTGGGATGATTGCTAATATCATCTGTCAAACTTTTTTTTAGGCATCATCTATCAAATTTATACACATACAAATTGATAACAACCTCTATAGTTTAGAAGTTGTTTGAAGATGGCTAGACCACATATTAAGGCTACCATTGAGTTACTTCTCATTATTTCAAGACTCTCTCCTAATTTCTTGCCAAACATTGTGGTCCATTTTGTGAAAAAAGAAAAACTTTGACCCGAACAATTCGACCCACGTACTTCAGGTGAACTTAATACGATAATTCCACCCCTAACAATCAAGGACCAAAATCCAAAATCGAACCAAATCCATCCACAACCTCTTTGTTATGCAAATATTTATTCACTTGTTACTTCTCAAGCTCTCACAAATTCCTCTGAAGAAAAGGAAACATGAGAGGAAACCATCTTTTTATTACTTTCTGTCCAGTTGCTTCTTCACTTGAGCTATTGAGCACATGAAGCTACGCTTTCATATGAATGACAATAACAGTTCTTATAACACTTTTGTGTATTTACAGTTCAACTATCATGTTCCTTAAACTACTTCTGTATTTCAGTGTGATTATCAGAACTCGATCGAGTGAGCTCGAGCGACGATATTTATTCTTCCTGGAATGAGATGTTGCCTGGCATTTCAATTGATGGGGAGAACTACAAATCATACAAGGTGTTCAACGAAGTTAAGTATCCATAAATACTTGATCTCGACCATCTTGCTGCTCGGAATTATTGACTGGATTTCTTTTTGGAGATGGTATTGGTTCCTGAAAGCAGCCGTGTGGTGTGGCATATTCTTCATTGCCACCACAATCAGATACCGAGCTAGCATCAATATCTTTTTCCGAACAGTCGATTTGCAAGCATTCGACTTCGCTGTTTTGAGTTTCTGAATCATGGCTCCTACTCGCCAAAGTCAGATTTTCCTTCTTTACAACGTTGAACACAATCCCGTTTGGTATTCTTTCAGGCTGCAAAAAGTCTCCTTCAGTTAAAAGAATGCTTGAAGAAACTCGATTACTAAGATCCCTCATGTCGAAATCAGGGCTGTCCGAACTGCGCTCGGACATGGTTCGGGGGCTTTGAGAATTTTGACTACCACCGACTGACTGATGTGCACTGGAATTAGCTACCAAACCTCTGTTGAGATCATCAAGATCCAAATTTTGAACAAAGTCTATGAACTTATTAGCTGATGCTGTTCTCATCAATGGCCCACCAGATCTAGTCCAAGTATTCAAATCGATATTCTCAGATTCGCTATCACTACCATCAAACATGTTACGGTGGGTTCGAAACATCCTGCCAGAGGATCCTGCACCTATCGATCCACCAATACCTTGATGGTGCGTTGAAGCAACATCGGCGAGGTATTCCTCTTCGAGCGAACCAGTTGAGTTTTCTCGTGCAATGCAGTTCCAAGAGGGAATTCTTCTTGAAGCACTGAACTTGACTGGGATCGAAGGGCTGTGTGAGGCGGCAGCGGCAGCAGCAGCCCTTTCAGCGCTCCGTTTCAGCCTCCGCATATGGTTGAGAATTGCAACACATTCATCCAATGCGAGCTCAATGCCACAGTTGGCTTTTATTGCTGATAGCTTCTCCCAGGTGCACCTCCTACCTTGGTTCGCTGACTTCTGAAGATCCAAATGTGTAGGATTTTGAATAATTTTCGAGTACTGTAACAAAAAAAAAAAGTTCTTTAGCATCGACATGCAGTTATTGTTTTAAAACTTGGCTATGCTTTATTTGTTTTAATCTAACATTGTACCATTTGACCATTCTTATGAACCATTGAAATTTGTAGTGTCTTGTAACGAGAAAATACCTGAGCAAGAGTGGCAGGCATGACGACTGTGACGTCTCCTTCCCAATCTTGAGCAAAAAGTTTCGCAATCCCTCCCAACCGGAAACCGAGTTCTAAAATCTGGTTGCATCTATGCTTTACCTCCATTTCAAAGAGATGAGCAAGCTACAAAGCCAAACGTCAACCATGAGAAATTACAAATGACAGACTGGACAAATAATACTCATACTTATCCAACTATCCATAAAACTGATGAATAGTAAGAGAGAGAGAGAGAGAGAGAGAGTATGAGAATTATGTGTTTCTAGAGTGCACAAAAATGAAGTTATTTTGAGAAAAAAAAAGGATAATATCCATAGCAGTCGATGAAAAAATTTAATTTAGTAACCAATGTATTCTGATATATATGGAAACATTTGAATACTCATAAAAAGGAGGAAAACTAAGGATATCTTTAACTAAATGTGCACAGAAGTCAATTAGAATCAGAAAACAAACAATCCCTTCTCCAACACAAGCATTTCATTCTGTAAGTTATAGTTTTGTCAAAAAGATTAGTATAGTGGTTTGTTTCGGACATACAACGCATGGAAAAAAGAACAGTAGTCAGAAAAGATACAAAACAATATCCTGAGCACACGTTGTCATACCTTGGCAGCAAAATTTCCCCCAAAAGCTCTGAAGAATTCTTTCATTCGCAACAATGGTGCAATATGGGGATTTGCCTGACTGACAATGAAATGGTTAACATTGAACAATTCTTTCAACTGAATCATCGGCAAATCAATCTCCAAGCTGCCATCTCTCCAACGACGTGCCGATGAGCCTGAGCCCTCCTCAGGATCCAGATTAAACGGTGGATGATAGGGAACAATCTCTCCGCTTCTGTTCTTGGCCATTAGTTCTTGTGCCTCGAAAAGGCCAGGGAATGCACAAGATGCCGTTACAGCACTCCATATCACAACATGAGGAGATGTTAAGTAGTTAAGACATCTAGGCGGCTCGTGCTTCCTCGGGGAACAAACCGTTATCCCAAGGATTCTACCTGTCATGTCATAAGCTTCCTGAAATGTTAGGTTGCTAGTGAGCTGCCTTAACATAATTTGTAATTGCCGAATCTCGTGAACAGCACCTTGTATCATTACCCTCCTTACCACAGTAAAAATGCCACCCATCTGGTCGAAAAACTGTAATGAATGCCAAGAATCATCGAAAAAGCTTTGTAGTTCCGGCCAAGACCTAGTGGCAACAACAGCACACATGATGGATCCTACACTAGAACCAGCAATTATTCTGGGCAAAAGTTTATGTTCTACCAGAGTTTTAACCACTCCTGCATGAAAAGCTCCAAGCGAAGCACCCCCGCTCAAGAGCAGCGCAGTCCTTCCAAATGCATGCCTCGTTTCATGCATGRATGAGAGCTTCTCTTCCAATAACAGTTCCTCCGAGTCCGAGTCACAGACCAACCTCAACTGAGTTGAAACCTCATTTATGTACTCCTTTATGAGTTTGGAAATTTGAAGCCTACCCTTGTGTAGCTCGGGGTTGCACATATTGCCAAGATTTCGGAAGAGATCAGCTCTCATCCAAAATATTATATCTCTGAGAGATCCCTCTTGGCGACGGTGGCGAAGCTCCTGAAGCTTGTTCCTCACCAACTCTTCGTCATAGAGGTTCGACTCGTTCATTTTTGGGGTTTCTTTGTCAAGCATTTTAGCAGCATGAGCCCACTCCTCATAGGTCAAGGCAGATCTCATCATGTTTCTCCAAAATTTCCTCCGGTAAGCCAATTCGGCCCTCTCTTTGACATTAGTGTATCGTTTCAACAAAAAGGCAATAATCGTCACCATTGCCAATATCCCTTGTGGATTCCTAGGATGCATCCATGATAGTATGGGTGGTACAAGGGCCCTAAATCTATAGATGATATTTAGCAGAATACGGAAGACTTGTTGCCTCAATTGGGACACTGATTTGCAAAACAATATTCTAAAAGCAATTGTTCGACCAACAATGGTCGATGGCCCAATAGAAAAGGAACCAACACTGGCCTCATTACTAATGTCCATAATTCTAAAAAAATCTACACAGTTTTCTAAGGATGTAGAGTAACGGAGCTTAAAGTCAAAAAATAATGGATTGTGTGTTACAGGGTAAGGAAGTATATGGATATAACAAGCCAACTGACAGGAAAATTTGGTCTCTGCAAACTTCAATGCAACATATTAATCAATGGGAACAAAGATTGATCATCCCAGATGGATCAAGAATGAAGAAACCATGTAAATTGCTTCAAATTCAACAGTATACTCAACTCTTCAGCTCTTCAAAATGAATCAGTAGACAAAAAGAAGGATCGCCAAATGAGAAGAACAATGTGAATTCCAGTAATAAATCCGAATAACATATGTATGGTAATTAATGAGCTCCTCAATCTGACCTTATAAAGCAAGAATCAATCCCCAAATCCAAAGGAAACCCCCTCAAGAAATCCAAATTTGATTACCCTGAACGCGTAAGCAGCACCAAATAGATCGATCCACCAACCAACCCGACGCAATCTTCGAAGACCTAGAAATTAAAATCGCCGACAAACAAAACCCATTGCTCGAAACGAACCAACCCCAACTAAATTCGTGCAAAACTCCAAGAAATCAGAGACACATAAGCTGGGAATTGAAGCTCAAAATTTCCCCCCAAATTCTAGAATCGGCTAATAAAAAAAGAACTCAGTAATCCACAGAACGAGGCAAAATAATAATAATAAAAATGGGTTATTGGGAAACGTGAAGAAGATAACGATAACGATAATGGCGACACACCACGCGGCGTCTGAATCAGCAGTTTGACGGTTGAAGAAGATGACGAAGGATAAGGATTCTTCCCCCAATTTGCTTCTTCGGGAGAATTTTGCTGAATCATCTCTGAATTTGGAGCTTTCCTTATAAAGAAATTTCGCATTTTCAGAACAAAATGGAATCAATGGTGTCGCCATTTTCTCAAGTTTCTCAAAAGGGATTCAATTGTGAAGCTTGAAGGTTAGAATTAGATTACAAATTTAGCTTAGTTTCAATTTAGGTAATTTAAAAAAGTTTCAGTTTAATATTTGTAAAATTTATAATTCCAGCCCCATATTATGGTCAAATTTCATTACAAAGTGACATCTTTTTTAGTTACAGCCGAAGAGAGGGAGAGAAAAATATATATATATATATTTCGGTTCATCTAAGCATATATTTCCGACTAAAAGTTGTGAGTACGAATTCTCACCCGACATGTTGTATTAAAAAAGATAGGGATAGCAACAGGGCAAGGCGGGATCGGGAACCGAACTTGTTTTTTATATATATATATATATATATATATATATTTATATATATATATATATATATATATATATTATAGAATAGTGTAATAGAATAGTGTAAAATTTAATTAAATACAATTTCAATGTTTTAATATATTAAAAAATATTTATAAAAATTAATATATATTAATATTTTTAAATGAGGTGGAGACGGGATACGGAGATCTCCATGTCTACACTGGGACCCCAATTAGGATCCTCAATTTGACCCCTCCTCAGTCAAACCAAAGATTCCCCGATCTGACCGAGTCGGGTACTTACGGAGATCAGATCTTGTGAGTTTTTTTACCCCTAAAAAGAAATTAATTATTTCGAAACAAAATATTTAGACTTTTCTTTTATATATATTTAGATTTTTTTTATAATTTGTAATAATAAATAATTTCTTAGAAAAATATAAGTTTTAACTAATCTTATTTAATTATAGTTAGGAGTTATGACAATAATAGCATATTTAGGTTAAATAATTACAAATTTGTCGCATGATAAAGTATTTTATAAAAATGGTAGAAATGTAAGAACATATGTCAATGTGTAATATATTTTATCAATGATACAAAAATGATATATTAATGATATAGTTTTATATTATTCTATCAATGATAGATATGATAGATAATAGTGTTCAAATAACTCGGTAACTCAAAGAACTAGAAGAACCCAAATTATATGAGTTGGATTGAATTCGAAATTTTTTTGTTTCGTTTGGGTTGGTATTTTTGCTAAAGCGAAAAGTCGGTTCGATTTGAAGGTTGAGAGAATTTTTGGTTCGTTGAATCCAAATTGGAGTAACCTCCTGTATAAATAATATATAATCTATATTTATATATAGAATTTATATCTATATCTATCTATAATCTATATCCATAATAAATATATAAAAGTACGGACGTAAAAGAAACATTTTTTTAACAATTTTAACTTTTATTTTTTTTATAATACCTAAAACTATCATTTTATTAATTAAAACTAGCTAATAAAAACTTCCAACAACATACAAATTTATAGTCCACATAAATACTCCTTTCAACTCTCACCGCTACACCCACTTTATTAAATAGTTAATGATTTATTCAAATTAAAAGAAAAGTTTTTGTTCGGGGATAAAATATCCAATTGCCACGTGGAGGACAAAGATTGATTTATAAAAAAAAGTTGTTTGAAGAACTGTTTGGCAAAGCTCTTCCTCGGAACCTTCTGAGGAGGGAGGTTCATTACTCCCGATCACATTACAACCTCTAAAATATCCGAGTTTTATCTACTAAAACCCGACATGTCCGACCTCAAAACCGACCAAGGTAACTGCATGTCGCGACCCCTGTCGGGACCTAAACCTATAAATAGAGGACCTCATTTCACCATCAGGTATGTAATTTCTCCTCGAACCTAATATTAAGTCTGAACTGYTTACTGACTTGAGCGTCGGAGATTTCGCCCTCTTATGCAGTTCTTCCCATCGTCTTTCAAGTCTAAGTTTGGACCGGGTTCGAGCTCAAGAACCGTTGTGCAAATTCCTSCCTAAACAGTTTTATAGCTACTTCCCTCTCAATCTTTTAAATTATATAAATTTTTCATTTTTAAATACATGAATTTTCATCTTTAGCAACATTTTTCAGTAAAATATAAAATCAAAATATTCTATGATATAATAATTTTCTAAAATTAAACAAATGAAACTGGAGGTTAAGAATATGAAAAGTTTTATTTTTATTTATATAAAATTAATTTTAACATTCCATTTAATTAGGTTTAATAGTGAAATATGAAAAGGTTTAAAATTGTTTAAYGGTGAAATATGAAAAGGTTTAAAATTTCAAAAGGTTTAAAATTTCAAAGGGTYAGGAGAACAACAATTCAAAACGGTCAGGATATCAAAGGTTTGGGAGAAAAAAAAATACAAATCTTATTCAATAATATAATAATATCTATGAAAATATTATTTTACAATAACAATAAAAATTAAATTAAATTAATAATTTACAAATAAAAAGTATATAGATTAAAAAAATAACAAAATACTAGTAATAGTAAAAGAATCTAACCTAGGTTCCCATTTTATCTTCTCGTGCTGCTAAGCCCCAACTCCTTCACTCCATCCTTCCGTCCTAGTGATGGAAGACTCAGTTGCTTGCTTCAGAGTAATTAAAGGCTTGTTTGATAACGTTTTCGTTTCTTGTTTTTGTTTCTTCATTTTTAATAAAGAAAAATAGAATTGTATAGTCCAATATTCATAAATTCAAGAATAATTAACTAATATTTATATTGATGTATTGCAACAAATTGGAAACGGAAACAAAAAACAAAAAACGATTGTTTCCAAAATTTCTATACAATTTTGAGAATATTTCCAAAAAATGAGAAACAAGGAACATATTTTGTTGCAAAATACTTAAGTTTCTTAATAAAATTTTGAAACGAGAACCAGAAACGGGAACTCTACCAAACAGGTCCTAATGTTTCTATTGTATCAATCGGTAGGCTTTGTTTAATATTATTCAAGAAAGTCTATACTTTTAGCAACCTGCCGACCCATGTTGGATGACACACTTCATTCGAGTCTCTTGGGTAGCAGAACCTTGGCTTGGTCTAAAAAATTCCTCTAACTTGACCCAACCCAACTCGTGTATGTCTTTAATAATATTTTTATCAACAATACAAAAATGACAAATCAATAATATACTTTATTACATAAATGATAKAATTTAGATTAGATAGATCAGTGATGTACTTTACCAACTAAGGAATTTAGTATTTCAGTCATATATGGGAGAAAAATGGTCATATTTACAAATTATTTTTTAGGGGTGTTCACGGGTTGGGTTGGGGTATTTTTGGAACCAACCCGAATTTTCGAGTTTGGAATTTGTGGGAACCGTCGGGTTGTAAAACGATGGCCAACTCAACTCAATCCAACCCAATAAATTCGGATTGGGTGGGGTTGGGTTGCCGGGTTCCTTTTTTTTTTAATTGATTAATTAATTTACTTTTGTTTTGTTTATAACATGGACAAAAAAAAATATTGAAAAATCAAAATCTTAATTTAAGCACAAATTCAAATCCTAATTGAAACCAAGATGTAAGTCCTAATTTAATACAAATTTTAAAATTTTACATTATCCAAAGTTTATAAAGTCTTAAATCCAAATTGAAACTAACATGTAAGTCTTAATTCAACAATATTAAAAGCTTACACCTTATTATAGAGAGAGATGGGAGGGAGGAATATGAAATTGAAAATGTTAGAAAAGAGAGAGAATCAAATATTCAAAATGGAGAGGATTGAATTGAAACCTAAAATCAATGGTTGAGATTTAATGAAATAGATGGATGAGATTGAATATAAAAAATAAGATTTTAATTAATAATTATTAATTTATTATATATATGTAATATTAGATTATTAGTAATATATATATATATATATATATATTAAAAAAAACTTATAATCTCGGGTCGGGTCGGGTTGACCCGGGATTTTCAAGGGTCAATCCGAGACCCGACCCAACTCGATTGGGTTGGGTTCKTCAGGTTGTCGGATTCCTTGAACACCCCTATTATTTTTCTAGTTGAAAACTAATTTTACCACCCATGTGCAATTTATTAAAATAAATGGGTATTGTTTTTTTAATACAATAAATATAAGATGGATGATGGTRGGTGGAAGAGTATTAATTAATTAGCTGCAATTAAGTCAAATCGTATTAAATAAAGTTAAATTAAAAATTTTCTAATTAATAAATTAATGCTAAATAATATGGTCCAATTAAAACCAATTTTTTAAAAAATCATTCGTTATCGTGTGATAACCTAACAAATAGACCTAATTATCAAAGTTTTAAGCCGAAATTTGTAATTTAAATTGAAAAAAAAAACTTATTTAGTTTGTTCAATGAATTCGTTGATAAATCAAATAATGCAACTTTTCTTTTTCCAGTTATTATAAATTTAACCAATTTTATGGAAAATAAATGATATTAATTTCATAAAATAAAGTTAAAATAGTTGAAAATTATGTACTTAAAAAAATTAATAGTTGAAAATGATGGAATCGTGAACGGCATCAGAATATGTTGCTTGCACGGAATGGCAAACGACGTCGTGTTCAGCTGACTTCTAGTTCTCACCATAATAAATAATAATCCTTCCTAAAATTACATTCTTTTTGTGGTGTAGTTCCAAAAATTGTATAAATGAGTTAAAAAAAAAGATGTAATATTTTTGTTTCTTGTTTCGTGGTTTTTCAGTTTTTTAAAATTTAAGCCTCTTGGTAATTGTTTTTGTTTCTCGTTTTCCATATTTAAGAAATAGTTTCAAGATTGTGTAGAAGTTTTTTAAACAACAAAATCAAATTTCTTGTTTGTTATTCTCGTTTTTATTTTTCACAACATAGATAATAGTAAGGAAAAATATATTTTTGGTCCCTGAGGTATGAAATAAGTGTCTAGTTGGTCCTTGAAGTTTAAAATGAATACTTTAAAGTTTTTTTTGAAGTTTGTAGTAAGTGTCTATTTCGTATCTCAAGTTTCAAAATATACATTTTTCGTCCTCGAGGTTTGGAAAATTATTCTAAAGGGTCATCTGACTGTTAGTTGACCATGTGTGTTTTTCTCACTCTTCCTTCTCTATTTCTCTCTCCTTTCTCTCCTATTCCCGACAAACTAGTCGTCGTCGCCACCAACCCACCACCCGTCGCATTTTCTCCATTGCCTACAACTGCGAGGGGGAAGGAAGGTCTTCCTCTCTCCTTCGTTCTAGATATGGAATGAGGGAGAGAGAGACCTCCTCCTACCGGCAACTRGGAAGGGGTAGAGGTCTCCCTCTCTCTTTTGTTCCAGATCTGGAATGAAGGAATAGGGAAGAGAGACCCCCTCCTCTCCCCAGCTACTGCAAAGAAGAAAATATAGTGATGGCTCGACGATGGTAATAGTGTAGCGATGGTGCAACGAGGAAAGTGCAGTTAAGGCGGGTAGTTGGTCGGTGGTGGCGGCTGACCCAAGATGGGAGAGAAAGATAACAGGTTTCATTCAAGATACCAAGCTACCAAATGAAAGTGAACAACGAGCCTTATCCAATTTTTAATATCTTTTAATTTAATTTAAAGACTCTGGTCAAATTCTAATTGGTTTCAATTCAATACATATAATTTTGTCATTATTACGTAGCAATTTGTGATTTGTCAAAATTTATTAGCCAACCACCAATATTTGGGTAAAACGATTATATCACAACAACCGACCCATTAAAGTATCCATCATATCTGGACAACTATTACATTGAAACAATCATATGTTGGACACTTATCTATAGTATATATAAAAGCCACTATTAGGAGAAACTTTGTTTCATCATTTTAACTCTTTTCACTATTCTTTTGATTGTAATTGTGTAATTTAAATACAAATTTTCTCTCTTCTCTCTCTCACGATCCCACCCCTCTAAATTCCCCTCCCTTCATTTATGTCATAATATTTTCATCTTCCTATTTCAATTTTGCCATATACTATGAATCAAGACTATAATTAGAAGATCATTAATGCTCAGTTATCTTTATTCCATTTAACTTCTAAAAACTCTTTCATCTTCTTCATCTTTTGGAAAGATATATATATATACATAGTGGGTGAGATAAATACAAAATGAAAATGGGAGAGCACTAAAAAACTTGCGAGAAAGTGAGATTTTCGTTCTCACCATACTTAACCAAAGGGCATAGTAGAAGTCGTTACAGGGAAGACAGAGGGCATAACAGTTGTAGTCGAGGTCGCAAAATGTTGTTGCTTTAAACTTGTATGCTAGGGGCGCGATCGAGAGAGTGAACGGTAGTGGCGAGCCAGAAGGAGAAAGCTGTTGAGACAGTAGCGGCACTGGATAGAAGAAGACGACATATAGTGAAAGGCGATACACGCGTGAAGGGAGAGGAGAGAAAAATAAGTTTCTATAATTTGTGCATTTAGGTTTAGAAATACAAAATCCTTGTAGTCGGGCTTTGTTATTAGCTGAAGTTTATGGTTGAGCTACATATGATAATATTGGGTCGGTATAGGTAAAAATAGGTGAGAACTATAGTAGGTAATTATTAAGTAACTTTCCCACTTCTAATTTAGAAATAAAGTCGAATAAATAATGTATTGTATTATATAAAACAATTATTAATTTCATTAACATGTTTAAATTCAGTTTTAATTTTGTTGAATAATTAATTATCCTTTATTTTTAAATTATAATTACAAAAAAATTGTAAGTAAATAATATATTGTGATATTTTTTGACGATAAATGAAGAATTATAATTAATCCCGATAAAATATTTTTATAAAAAATCATGATAAAATATAATACGTAGTTCAGCATTCCTGCAACATCGTATGTGTTGATTTAAATTCCAATAAAAAAATATTCATATGAAAAAAAAATTATTATCTAAAATATTCACATAAATAAATAATTAGGAATCGTAAAAGGTACCACAAATAAATGAACATAAGATATATTTAAATCAATATTTTGTATTAATTAAATATAATATAATATAATATGAATACCTAAAATATTCATATAATAATAATAAAATGCTGAAACCAACCTCTTCAATTTTATAAAATTAGGTTATGTTATAATTTATCAATTTTTTTAATTACTTTTTTTTTTACTTAAAAATAAAACTTTCGAGTTCCACGTGCATCGCACGTGTTTCTTACTAGTTGTATAAAAAGACAACCAATATTTCTAGTTCGGTTGGGTTCAACTTAAATTAGTTTCAGGTAAACTCATTGTTGATGCGAGTAGTGTATTTATAGTGGTAGACAGGATAGATATGCGTCCCATCGGAGTATTCCACTGCTCGGACAGGGTTCTCCCATACAACCTTCGATCCCTGCTATTAACCAGTCCATTCCCTATTGCGATAGGTGAGGCTTGGTAGTTCGCCTATTCACCTATGTTGCCGAGGCCGACTTGTTAAGTTGACTCTTCCTATTTCGCTTGAACTAGGCCGACCGTGCCCAGTTTAACCTCGCATGAACCAACCTTACTCGTACGACCTAAATTAGTTTTAATTTGGTAACTAAAATGTCATGTTTCAAATTTTATAAGAAGTTTAAGTTAGATCTTGAAAAACATTTAAAAACATGCTATGGAAAAATTAATGGTAAATAGATTAATTAATTAGTAAATAATTACTTAATTACCAACCATGACAATTACATGAAATTCGAAAAGTTGGAAAATGTAAAAGGTTGTTATTTAATTTATAAAGAGCATATTGATTTTCACTAATAAAGATTTATAATTTTTTTATCCGTATTTTATTCCACCATTTTTCACTGATACTAATACAAATAGGTTGTTATTTAATAGGAATGGTAAGTTTGTGTGGTTTCAATTTTACGTTATGGATTTTTGTCTAACAATTTTGATTTTTGTTATTTTATAATTATTATATTACTATTATTTTTATTTTTGTTATTTTATAATTATTATATTATTGTATTTTTTTAAGGTTTATATTTACAACCAAAAGTTAATGAGTTTGAAACCAACCAGAATTATTATCTAAGATGAGTGTTTTGATTTTATATCTCCAAAAATTAAAATTATATATAAAATACTTTTTAACTTTAGGGGAAAAAAAACCAAAACTAATTATTTAATAACTTTTTTCATTTTAAATTTTCATGTTTTCAGAAACGTTGTTTTATATTGTAATTATTTATTTTCCTACAAACAAGTTTCTATAAAGTTGTTGATAAAACTTTTACAATATTTGCAAGTTACATATTTTCTTAGAGGCATAAATATCAATCATTTAATTTTAAGTTTCAGCCCTAAAATAATAGATATCTTAAATATTGAGCTATGTTTAGAATAACATCTTCATTCATTAAAATGAAAAGAAAAAAAAACCCGGCCAAAATCAAAGAACAAACCAACCGAAATGACGGGTTTAATATAAGCCTATCACATTACATTACTTGATTGCCTCCTTGAAACAGTGAAAGTATGCCTGCTTGACCATATAGAGTGAAAATATAAGGAAAATCAAGGGGTTTTCTTTTGGAGTTRGTGATAATAAAAGATATAGTACAATCAGTTCCAGAACAGATTCAAATATTAAAACAAACCAAAAAAAAACTCTGCCTAAAGATGGCCTAAAAGAGTGGGGATTTGGTTCTTCATCCACATTTTTAATGAGAGTGCAGAAGATGAGTGGATGACTTATAAATACCCCAACTATTAACACTAATTCTAAAGCTTCCAAGATTCTACTTTCCTAGTTAGCTTATTTCCTCACCTCTTCTAGACTTCAAAGAAAAGAATTACCTCTACTTTCCCTGGAGGCTGAATATTCTGACTACTTTGGGGAAAGTTCTTTGCTCCGCTTAGCAGCAGCAACGACAGCGTTCATAAACATGCCGCGGAGTCCTCCCTTCTCCAATTCATGGATACCAGCAATGGTAGTCCCACCAGGCGATGTAACATCATCTTTGAGCTGTCCAGGGTGCTTCCCAGTTTTGGTGACCATGGAGGCCGCTCCTAACACCTGTAAACAAATTCTGAATCAGTTAGTTCCAACTGATAAAATCAGAGTATAAATACTGATTCCGATTTTCCTTGCTAGATGATCATAGTTTGACTTCAAGGTCTTTGTTTTTTGTACTGAAAAACTGATTGGTATTGCAAAGGTAACAAGATCCAAACAAGGATTGGGAATCCTAGATGTGATGTATACATGGCAGAGAATTTTTTCCACTTTATGAGCAAAGCAATAACAAGTGGACTTTGATTTGTGGATCAGATTTGTCAATTAATACAGCAAGGGGAAGAAGAATGTACAACTTTAGACTTCTATTTGCATTAGATGAGACACTACACATCTAAGTGCTAAATTTCGGAATGTGCATCAGTCACCATAACGACCTCCTAATATCGTCCTTCGCATACCACCCTAGAGTTCATTGTATAGGGAAACCAGATGGGTTAATGACTAGTGATTGATTTTTAGTGAAGATAAAGGTCTATAAATTTCAATAAAATCCTTACACAACCTGCCGTTTATCATCTTCATATTCTACATGGCATCTTCCAGACGGTACAAAGTTCAGACGCAACCATCATATCATTATAGTTTCAGCTACTTTTCATTTTAGGAATGTTTTTTTATCTCCTTTTACTTGACATCAAAGGGCAAGTTTGATCTTTTTCTTCTTTAAGGCTCACCAAGATTGATCATTTCTCAGATCATAGTATTCACATTGTAAAACAAAATGCTAAGATATGACAGGACAGCTATACTGTTATTTATGGTCTCCAATGTTATAAAATGTGCAAACAAGTATGCATAATGTTTCTTTTCGTTTTTTTTTTTAATGAAAGGAGTCTATAATCTTCATTCTTCACTGGGTTGATGCTATTTTTGAATCTCTTGCTTTTAGTCAAGCGATAAATTTGTTGCCTTAGAGTCACCTCGCATCATGGAAAAAAGGGTATTTCTATTACTAGTTTCTTCAGTGCAGTCACGGTATGCCTAAATGGTATACAGGATTAATTACTTTACCCATAAAAATAAAGCATATGAATTTGACTCACAGTTTGAGAAGCTAGACCCATTGCAAGTTCTCGTGGTAGACCTGCAGCAACACCTCCATCAGCCAAAGCTTCAATTGCCAGGAATATGTATGCTGGCCCACTACCACTGCATATTTCCATTTACATTTACGAGTATCTATTAGCAGCAGAATGCGGATAGGAACTAAAAATTGACAAGAAATTTAATGAAATATGCTGTTGATATTTAGAAAGAAAATTACACAGGTTTACTAACCATTCAAGAGGCCTAGTTATCTCCCAAAGACTATCTCAAAAATCTGCTCGTCTCTAACTATTTTATTTATAAACAGTTCTCTAACAAACTCCTAGCTAATGACTAATATGCTCGAAATACTTTAATAATATCCCAATATCCTAACAAAAAAATTCTAATAATATCCTAACATTTATCTTAATTGTATACCCAACAAAAGAATGCTCCTAAAATAATTAAGAGCCAGCAGATAGAAGAGAACTTTGGGTATTAAGCTCTACTAACTTGGAAGTGTGGGATTCATCTCTCACAACATGTTACGTACCTCAGACCAGTGATTGCATCAAATAACTTCTCATCAGCTTCCCATATCTTACCCACAGATCCAAATAATTTAGCTATTATATGGCCATCCTCCTTTGTTGCACCTTCTCCCAAGCTCATTACTAGTAAAACACAAGTAAATTACAGAATTTTTCATTCTTTTTTTTAAACATGAATAGACATTTTTTATTAGTTCATTTTTGTACTTTTCCATGCAATGCACCGAGCACGAAGATTAATTGGAAATCTCAAAATGTTTCTTCTACATCATGTAATGAAGTTAATGAATTTATTTTGCAAGCTTGATCTGGCTTGGATGAAGCTTTTGAGTAAGCAAACCAAATTCTTTTTCTTGATAAGAAGTAAACCAAATTCTCAACCAGAAAGTTAAAGAAACCCAATTCTGCACAGACATGGATATATTTGAAGAGAAAAAGCTTCAACTCTCATGAAGCTGCATTATCTAGGTAAAAGGAGACCAAAAAATAGAACTTCATCCTTAAATTTTTTTTTTTTTTTTAACGCGCACCTCGACTAATTNCAACAAATTATGTCACAAAAAAATATTTAGCAGCAGATAGAAGAAAAAAAGGTAATATAATTTTTTTTTTTTGTATTCGTGAGTGTCCATGCCAAAGCTTGTGCGTCTCGACTAATTTCACGGGGCAACCGCCCGACCCTACAACATTTGGTGCCGGGAAACACAAAAGAATTAGTAATTCCTAAGTCAGGTGGTCATCATGGAGTTTGAATCCATTCCCTCTTAATTAACCCTAATCCTTAAATTATTTTCATTATTTTTGTTAAAAGAAATACTGTTACCTATTTACCATTTACCATTTACCATTTATTTTTTATTTTGTTTTTGTTTGATATCTTTAAGAGTTCTAAGATGCCTATATGATATATCTTTTTTCACATTCTAACAGGTAGCACCTATTTCAGCCGTCTGTAAACAGATTTTGGGTGTAGAATGACACTAAACATAAGAGGAAAAGATAATACCTGATGCAGCCTCACCAACAGCAGCTGGAGTATTTGGCATAACTCTAATAAATCGGTTATGACCTGCCCAATCCTAAATGTATAAAGCATTACTTCAAGTGCAATTTGTATGTAGAAAAGGAAAAATCCGGAGAATAATAATGTGATTAAGTTGAAACCTTTTAGCAAATAGAGGAGACTATAAAAGCATTAACGTCCCTTTACTTAGTACACAGTAAAAGTAAAAGCAAATTGCAAAAACTGCTTCATTCCATAGATTTCTAGCAAGATATTTAAAGAGAAGCCCCAAATATGACATGATAAGTGAAGCCATTTGCATTATAATCCCGGTGGCTACTATTTTCCCACACAACACTCAACTTAAAAAGATCTCATCCAGCTGGAAGTCCAAAGAAAAGAACAAGTTATTGAAATCAAGAACCTGCAGATCCTTCAATTTCACCCCAGCAGCAACTGAAACCAAAAGCTTCTTTCCCGTGAGCAGAGGCCTCAGCTTCAACACCACATTCTGAACTGCAACCAATATAAGCTGTCAGATTTTTTTTTTTTATAACCGAGAGTTGGAGCTTTGCTCCCCGATATCAAGGGGCACATCCTAAGGTTCAAATTCATGACCTCTAAGCTGGTATGACTAAGAGATCTCAAGTCTTTGCCACGGAGCGCTGCTGTCAGAAACAATTTAAAGTTCGCAGACTTAAATTGATGGAGAAAACAAACTTCTTAAGCGTGATTTCTTCAAACGACGTTCATTATAAACCCAATAAATCAAACAAGAAAGCATAACAATCCAGCATGTTGAGAGGGCCAAAAAAAAAACAACAACAAGAGATACAAATCACCAGGGCTTCTTTCAAATCATCCAGACTCCAGAGATATTGTTACTAATCCTTTTAAACATTTCTCAAGAAGATAATGTGAATGAATAAATAAATGGGGAAAATAGGGCAGCAATAAATGAGAACGTACCAACTTGAGGTTTAACAGAGAAAATAACCACATCACTCTCTTCAACTACCTGATAATAAGCAATCATAAGCAAAAAAGAAGAAGAAAAAGAACAGCTCTGGTTAGGAACAGAACGAAGTTGAACGGAGACTGGAAAAACGAGGAGCCAAAAAACAGAGAACGAAGTGTGGATCATAATAATCATACGTTGTCGTTCCTCGGAAGAACTCGAACACCGAAGGACTCGAAGGCAATGCGGCGATTAGGGTTGGAGTGAACAGCCGTACAGATTCGAGAAGGAGGTAAGAGGCCAGATTGGACAATGCCCCTTGCTATACTCTCAGCCATTTTTCCAGCTCCGATGAACCCTAATCTGTAAGCATCCATTGAAATGGGAAGGACCTCCATTGATTCCGATCGGCGACGAACTCCAAGCTCCTCCGGCTGCCGGCTGCTCTCTCTCCGATCAGATTCCCAGCAACGGCTCAACCGCGAAATCTGTTTTCAAAGAATCCAAATTGGCGATTATATTTTTTTTAGATCTTTTTCTTTTCTCTTTATCTTTGATTTGAAATCTATGGTGTTTTTTAAGTTAAATTACATTTTTAATTCATGTGGGTTTCTTTTTTTTTGTACTTTTCAAATAAATTCCTTGTTTGATTTAATAATAATTTTGAATCTCAGGGATAAGATATTATTTTTATCACTTTTAACTCCTTTTAAAATTTGAGAGGGTGTTTATTATAGAATCCATATTTTATTTATTCTTTTCAGAGACGGAATTAGTAAATATAGTTTCAGTGATCCAAACAATGAAAATTTGTAAATAATATTTTTTTTTGTCGTGTTTTCAAATTCTGAATTTGAAACTTTAAACTACAAAATAAAAGCTTTATAACAAATATATCCTAATAAACTCATTTCATTTTTACTAAAATTAAAAAAATGTAAAATATAATATATTGTCAAATATAAAATATTATAAAATAATAACTCTACAAAATCTATAACATATACATTAATAAATCAATTAATATTATTTTAGATTTAACCAAATATTAATCAATAAGTATCAGTGTTTTACAAATATACTATTAAATTTTTTAACAATGTTTTAAATGGAAATTCAATTTGGGAATCTACCACCAAACAAAATCCTAAAACCTAAAAATAAGTTTAGTTTAATTAAATCTCTTCTTTTTTTCATATCATCGATCAAAAGCACCATAAATTATAATTTTAAATCTAAATAGATTTGAAATTATTTCAGATATTTTGTTAAAAAAAATTGAAATAAGAGATGATTTGAAATCACGAGTCAAAATTTTCTATTTCAAATAGATTTGGTATTCTAGGGGAGAAAAAATAGATTTTTTATTTTCTATTTTTTAATATATAATAAATATTTGAAACTATTTCAAATAGATTTGGTATCTAGGGGAGAAAAATAGTTTTTTTTTTTTAATATATAATAAATATATGAAAAAATTATAGTCCAGAATAACTAATTTAGACACCTATTTTTTATTGAAATTTGTGAATTCAAATATTCCCTCCGTTAAAAAGGTTGTTTATAAATATACGAAGGAAGATTATTTTCTAATATAATATTTATTTATTTTCATTTAGGTTTGAAATAATTCTACTTTTCTTTAATAGAGATATTTGCAATTTTTTCTCCTTTATCACGATAAATATAACCTTGTAAGTTTTAATTTATTAAGTTGATTTTATTTTATTAAATTATTTATTTTATTTAATGGTTTGGTGCAGTTGTTTTTAGACACCATGCAGTTGACATTATTGTTTAATAATAATATTGTTATTATTATATGCTGCAAAATGAGAAGAAGATAATAGTAAAATATTATAAATATATATATAATTTATTTATATATATAGTGAACATTTAAACTGTCAAAATATATATATAAATATAGATATCGTAAACCTCCCGAGAATAACTTTTAGTTCTAGTAATTTGAAATCAATTTGGTTTTAAGCGTAATTAGAAACTTGAAATCACGACTATATATATATATATAAGTAATGAACATCTAAACCGTCAAAATTTATATTTATATATGTGTGTGTATATATATATTCTCGTCAAGATCTAAAGAATAAAAATAATACAAAAATATATGTCATTTACTATTTATCTACATTGACAAAAAAAAAAAAAAAATGGTAGAATTTTCTTTAAGTAAATTGAACTTCCAAACTCAAGTACCATCATGTTGGCGAAAAATTGATTGAACTATCTGATATTTTAGAGTAATAAATAATGTCCATTAAATTTTTATGACTCATTTTTTATATAACCATAAATAACTTCAATATTAATTATTAAGCTAATTATAGACATGTTTAGTAAATTTTTTATCTTCTACGAAAATGTTAGAGCTTCAAATCCTCGTTCTACATGTTATTGAACTAAAAAAATTCTTTGAAAAGGTCTAAAACTCTAATTTTTCAACTTTCAATTTTTGTATCATACAAAATTTATTAGATAGGTATAGAAATCAAGTTGAAATAAAACTTTATTCTTCAAAAGGTTTGAAACAACTTTCAAAAAGTTGAA